TAGAAAAACCATCGTTTTATAGGGATATGATGGATTCCACGAGATTAGTGGTTATATGTACTTTTCTTAAAAATAAAATAAGAAATTTCCTCAATGCAACAACATCAAATTTTAGCAGAAAAAACGACTAGCTATATATAGCGGTAAATCTGTAAAAAAAGATTAAAAATCCACTTATATTCTATTCCAAATGCTATAAATGTAGAATAACTTAGGGGTTGTAATTTAATCAAGGAGTTAAAGTTAGTTTTTAATGTTTTGTATTCAACTAAATTTCTAAGATAGTTTTAGTTGGTAGATTTTAAAATTTTTACAATATGCCTTGGATTTTGATTTTAATTTGTTTGTGAGAATTTATAACCAATGATTTGACATTAATTTTGAATACAAAGAATTATAAATTCCTTTCAGTTGAAAAATACTGAATCTAAAAACAAGATTTAGATCATTTATTAACTAACACAGATTTTAAATAAAAACTATAAATATTATATTTAATAGCACTAGATCTCAAAATGAAATTTAAATTATATTAAAATACATGATAAAATAACACTACCTAATAAATTGATCTGCCGAGATCTAGATGTCAACTATTTTGACCGATTAGCTTTTAGTCAACTAGCTGTTATTATAGACTAAGATCATACTGATATAGATGCTTGTTCTAAATTTTTAATAGAGTCCCTACTTACTGATGAAACAAGCTCACGTGAAATGCTGCAATTAATCCTTCGGAGTAAAGCCAGGAGCGTATTCTGGAGAACGATAAAGACTGTATTAAATTTCTTACATTTTTTTTTTATTTTTTATTATAAACTAGTATTATCTACTAGTTGAATATCTTTTTGGAAAAAGGCTGTTTAAGATCTGTCTAGATGCCTACTCAATATCATTGAATGCATTCTTCCCTTAGTTATCTAAAGTAAACTAAACCATCGCATGTTCTAATAAAACTGTGCTTTCTTCCAAGTTCCAATTGTTTGGTGTATACAAATACTGCTATCTTTCAAAAATATAACTATTTTGAATTTTTCACAAATATTACAAAATATATTTTATTTTGATTATAAATACATAATTTGTGTTTATTTATTTAGTATAATTTAAAATCTATAGAAGTTTAATAAGTCTAACTGATATTAAATTTTACAGTTTATCAGTATTGCTTAATAAAAATGCATAGAAAATAAACATATCTTTCTGAAACATTTTGTCTTATAATATGTAACTTTCTAAAACAAAGGAATTATTAATTAGTTTTAGTATAAGTGTATTATCCAAACATAGCGTAGACTCGAAGACAAAAATAGAGTTTTCAAAAAAGAACATTAAATCATGTTCAGTTTACACTTTACATGCTTTTATGTATATGAAACTACAATTGTTGTACAAAAAAAGAAAGAAACTTACAATTTTTAATATATTTATGATTCTTCTACCGCACTTATCCAGAAGTTTTGACGAGAATTTAGATTATATGTTATCCATTAAAAACGTCTCTACTCATAACACATGAAGCTCCACCTTTTTGGCAAATGGGATGTATGTTAAAACCCATAAGAGAATTGACATATATTAGCGAACTTGGTGGATTGGATCTTTCCTGATATATTTATAAAAGCCGAACAAAATACATTGTAATGAGTGAATGCAACTCCAACTGATATTCATAACATATTCAGAAAATATTACTTAGACATGAATTAATTCAGCTTGGAAGCCGCCTTCAATCGGATGATCTAAATGCTATCATAATGCTATTTCTCAGGATGCAAACCTACAGGTGGGATCAGGTCTGGATCGTTCAAGACACGATAAGATGAATAGTTACAAAAGGAGTCCACCCTCTTTAAAAAAAATTGCAGCGAACTACACACCTTATAAACGTTATGGAGTCAGATCTGAAAATTATGAAAATAAATTCCAACACCATGTCCATAATCAAAGGAAATGACGCAATGTAACAGTAAAGATGCTGATGTTTGATAAGCATCAATAGATCAATTTTGTTTTGCCAATGAATATGGTATGAATAGGAAGGAATAACAATTATTTTGTTGATATATTTTCTTATCCTAATCAAAATATATATTACAATATATGTGCTAACTAAGCTCCCCTCCGCATCCACTTTCGAAAAGGATCATAAGATTGTTGTCAGCTCGTCTTCAGCGAGATTAGCGAAACGCCAATATTGGAAGCTTCCTTCTCCTAGACAGATGTTGATGAACATTACCACTTGCAAGGTGGCTTTTAATGAAACTCTGTGGTACTTAGACAAATAACCTTGCCAACCAAAGCCCAAGCCCGTCACAACTCATAAGTCCTTCGAAGTATTTACCATTGTCAAGCTTTGCAGATAAACCCACTTATCATAGTGGAAACTGTTAATATTAGCAAACGTCTTTAAGGACTGTTGGTAAGTATGTAATTATGAATCACAACATAATTATAAAAAAAATCATCTCCAAGAATCCAACACGAAATTGCAACACCCCTCTATTAGGAATACAACATCAACTACATACTTACCAACAGCCTTGTGTTACAAATAAACAAAACAACGTCAACTTCTATCTCATATTTCATGACATCAACGAATTAACAAAATGTATGTTAACAACCTAAATACAAAATTTTATCGACCGTGATATAATACCAGCACGAAGACGCATCCACAATATCTAGAAGTGTTTTCGAAATTAAAGATCTCAACTCAAATGCTACACCAAAATTTGATGTTCAAGGGATGAATGAAGATCCAGAAATAACACAAATACGCTACACAAGAAGAACTCAATGATTGTTCACTATGTCTCATGCACCAAAAAAACGTACATCAAAACAAACAGACGAGTTCATAGAGGAGTCGTTAACATACCATTTGTGAATAAATTTGTAACGACCTGGTTTACTAAACCAAGTTTGGTTTAATTTAATTAATTAACCTAACCGTCGTAAACCTATATACATGTATATTCATCTTCTCCTTCTACAAAGAGCAGCAGCCTTTGTTGATGCGTGAGTGAGAGAGGAGCCAAGCCACCATATATGACACATCATCACCACCGGTCACCGCCTTGAGCCACAAGTCACCGGAAATACATGTACTCGTCACCGTAGTCATGGCAATCGACCATTGATCCGAGCCGATTCAACCGCCGCATCTCTTGACAATCGCACCCCATGCCACCTATTGCAGATGTGTTTTTGGAGAAGAATCTCTATTGTCGGAGGCCATCGACGTGACGTCGTCTCGTTGCAATTACGTATCGGACTCATACAATGGAGAACGTGAAAGTCTAAACCGTGAGGTTATGTACCATTGTCCTTGTTCTTGTGTTGCAAGCAAGATATTTAAATTTGCCTTAAGCATGTCATGCGTAGGATGCAATCATCGACTTTAGATGCGACGTTTCTAGCATTTCCTGATTTCCCTATGATATTGGTTGACGTGATAATTATTCTAGTGATTTCTCGTAAGCGGTTTAAATTTTTGAATATACATAGGTATAGGTATGGTGCTGCGTATCTAGAAGTAGATACCAACGGGTCTTGTCTATGTTCTTCTATGAAGCAGCCCGGTGTAGGACATCTTTAAGGATACTAGTGGTGGAATTGTTATGTAATTCCCGACCGCTGATGGTTAATGAACCTCTAACGCCACTTTATTCGACTTGTAAGTCCCATTTCGTGTTTAGGCCCCAAATTTGTAAATATATTATCTGAAGTATTTAAAGTATTTGAACTATCCATAATTTTATCCAAAACCATGATAGAGTTGATATTTAATCCGAAAACTCCTGAATTTTCTAGCTTTTTAACTCGAATTAACAAAAAAATAATTGGAATCATATGGGATCCAAAACTAACTCGAATATTAGCTGATTCTCAACTTTGTTATCCGAACCAAAATTAAAAACTGAAATAACCAAATTGAATGCCAGGCTAGGGCGCTATCAAATACTCCCTCCGTTTCAAATTATATGTTATTCTAGAGTAAAATTTTCGTTTCAAAATAAGTGTCGTTTTATAATTTCAATGCAAAATTTATTGATTTTAAATGTTATTCTATTTTTTCATTGGTTGAAAAGTGGTTAGGTGTATAGGTAATTGTGTTTTTATTTGAAAATATGTAAAATTAATTGTTTTCTTAATCTGTGTGCAAAACTTTAGAATGACAATTAAATTGAAACGGAGGGAGTAATATTTTTGTCTGTCTTTTATACTGCTCAGCTTGCTAAAGCTATCATGTGTATCAAGGGCGCACATGACATGCCTTGCTCTGAAAATCTCGGTACGTCGTGTAACCGTCTGACCCGAAGCTAACCGACTGTTTGTTGTTATCCATCAGATTTGGAGTTTGCTACCTAGAACTGCGATGTAGCTGATTAGGCTGGAATAGTTCGAATTTGTCAATGGATCATGTGATTATTGTCAAATTACTACAAATCTCTCCAGAAAAGTTTATGGATCCTAAAAGAAATAACTGTGCAACCAAAATTTTCATAAAAGAGGAAATTATTTGAACCATTCTTTATAAATACAGAAAAACGTCAACGTTCTAATACCTCTTCCTTTTTTTTTTATTTATATATTTGACGTTTTGAAGTTTTTCTTTTCCAAATTATTTAACATTTTCAATTTTTATGTAAAATTTATTTATACTTAATGTTAGATGAATAGTTTCTATTTAATTATTGATTGAATTGTGGTTAGCTAAGCAATTAATGATGCTTTTATTTAGAAAATAAAACAAAATTAAATGTTTTTTTAATTTTTGTGTCTAATTCTAAAATGTGAAATATAAAAAAGGAGTATTGAATTCTCATCTTTTGAATTATGTTTATGGAGCTAAACGCAAATAAGTTTTTTTTTCATAAATAATAGATGGGCAACAAACACATTTTATCAAACAAATATGGATACGATACTCTTTTCATTTTTTTATCTCTTGTTTATCATCTCAAAGGGTATCTATATCAACTTCCATCACATCACCATATGAAATCGTTCGAGCTCATGTGATCAGCAGGTGGCGACGATGAGGTGGCTTGCTGATGCTGATCCAGATCGACAGTGAGATCCATAAGATCGCTTGGGTTGGGATAGTGCTCGCTTAGATTTCCGATGAGCATTGCAATGGATTCGTCTTCATCATTTGGTATGTAATCAAACATCATATCTTGATAGAAGTTCTTGTCATTGACTTCCATCGACTCAACCTCTCTTCCATTATTTTGTTTGTGTGGGTGCTTTCTGATGGAGAAGTACTGTAATAAAACCAAACAAATATACATTTATATAAGACGTTTTAGCAGTTGGTCTTTTTGGTCAATTAGGAGAAATAAATGTTAGAAATTTATTTAATAACCAAACCAAATATAAAATATGAAAAACTCTAATAAGTTCCATGTTGTTGAAAACATTATTCAATTATATGGCGACAAGTCATATATAGGAGGACTTCAACTAATAAACTTTCAATATTGAATTTTACATATGTAAAAAACCACTTTAGCATTACTAATATAGATTAACGCTGATAAAAATAAGTTGTGGAAATAAATAGAAATATTAAAACTACTACGTTTTTTAATTCAAATTTGGTCGACTTTAGAAGAAATTAAACATTAATTAAAAAACTTCATATAAAAATTATAAAAACGCAATTAATTTTTTTTGTCTGGATGCTTAACAAACTAAATTCAATGACACTTTCAAATTTCCAATTTTGGACTACCAATTAATCATTATTTAATATTTTGTCATTTCTAAAATAAAATAAGAAAAGAGAGTTAGTAAGAGAGCTCACGAGATTCTTGCTTTCGTCTTCGTAGATTGTTAGATAATCTCCCATCAACACTCCATTTTTCTTCACAAATTCTCCTTTCATTTTTAAAAATAAATAAGTTATATTTAAGTTTTTTTAATAAAAATAACTATACTTTTTGAAAGAATAATTTAGTTCCTTAATTACCTGTGTTTTCGAGGACATACATTCTGCTCTTGTTATTGGACCAGTACCTGTGTTTCACATTAATACAAGCCTTATAAGTTCTCTCGTTCCAATAATAGAGTATTAAATTGAAACAGATATAACAAATTCTAAACTATAAAACATACCACTAAAAAAACATTAAAGAGCTTAAAATGTTTGTTAAACTATTGGTAGATTAAAAATGGAACAGAAAATGTTTTTACTCAATATATATAAGAGAACTGAAACGAGACTTAACTTGTACTTGAAAGACCAAGACTGCACAGAGTCAACATTTCTCATCTCTAATACCATTCCTTCTTTATCAGATAGCTCTGGAAGATTTCCTTCTGCTTCTCTCTGCGCTCCAAACCCATGATTTACTTAATTACTTTTTAATCAACTAATTATTTTCTTATTAAGATAGATAAAATGATATAATATGATTTTTCTATAGAAAAACTACCATATAATCCATAATTATTTTTTGTTTGTTTTATATTTCCCTTAATGATTTCGAGGAATGCCATTTAAGAGGCAATTAATTAGTAAAGGAGTATAGACGGCTTTCTTCTTTTTTTTCAAACAATTTCAAAATAAAGTCATTGTAAATTTATAACCACTTTATTTTGTTGGTATGACACTCTTAACCATTACAGCTAACTACAACTTTTTTTTTTTGTAACACCAGCTAACTACAACTAGAAAGTCGTTTTTTGTCATTTTTTTCATTTATTGGTTACTAAGTTCTTACACCGAATATTTGATTGAGTATAATCAATCTATTTTCATTTTATCTTTCATATTTCATTTTCGGTGCTCATTCCAAAAATTTGACTTTTTAATCCTTCAAATTTAAGATATAGACAACCCAAATTTAAATTAGATTTTTAATCGCCATATTCTTGCTCAAGTAAAAGTAAAATATTTACATAAAAGATCAAAGTTTTGTTTTCATGTTTTACTTTCCTCTTGTTTTCAAATTTCACAATGAAAGAATATATACGTGGTCGCAGTGATGATATCTTTTTAAAAATGGTAATAGCCAAATCCTGAAATTATATTACCTTCTAAAAACTTTTTCATGAAATTAAGATTTTAAATTCGTAGTTACCTTCTAAATACTTTTTCATGAAATTGAGATTTTGTAGTTACCTCTACAAAATTGTTTTAACATTATACCATAAAGAGCACGGGAAATGTAAGAATTTACACACCTTTGGTAGAACGATCCTCCCAAGGGACCCAACATCGCTGTTCTTCAAGTGCTTCACCAACAAAACCCTAAGTTTCTACGTACAAAACAAATTTAAAAAAGCTATCATCATGTTATATATATAAAAAATCGCATATATTCAATTATTTTGGACCAAAGGAATACAAACCTTGTTATCGAATGAGGAGAATCGATAGAGATCTTTTCGAGCGGCAATCTCGGCATTATTTTTCATGGTAAGAGCCACTTGTCTCCTTGAATCAACCAACTCATTTGAACTAGAATTAGGGCTAGAGTTGTTTCTTGATCTTATCATCGCCTTCTTCCTGTTGATCCTAGCCATCTTAGTCGAGTGTGGATCAAGAAATCCACCTCTTTCTTGTCTCACACCAGGCTTACAAACCAAAGAGCCGAATTCACTTCCGGTTTGCACAACCGGAATCTGAGGATAAGCATCCGATGAGTGAAGAGGCTGATGATTCATGCCCCCCGTCTGATCAAGTACCGGGCATGCAACGTACGAGTAAGGCGGCAACAAGTGGGGAGGCTGCGCCGTTGTTGAGAAGTGCGAGCGATTGTTGTTAAGATCCATGGAGAGTTCTTGGACAGAGTTTGCGTTAGAAGAGGAAAAGGGCAAGAAGTTATCCATATTTCCCGGGGAGAGAAAGAGAGAGAGAGTTATGAAGGGAGGAGGGTCGTTGGGGAGATTGGAAAAGGAAGGAGAGGGAGATCGAGTGATGAAGAGACAGATGTTGGAAAAACACTAAAGAAAACGAGTCAAAATGTTGCAGATGGTTCGATGCTTCACCTTATAGGGATACCCATCTCACCACTCACACAAGGAGAGAGATATGTATATATGAATGCTAATGGGTACATACATACATATATATACATGTATATGTGGCCCAAGATTGGTGTTTGAATGTATATAATGATTTTGTGGCACAGAAGACCACGAGAAGGTCATTGGCTGTATGTTTTTTAATGAGAGAGTGAATTAAGGCTATTTATTTATTTTTTGGACTTTCTTCTCGTTTCTTATATTACTATTCCGTTTCTTAATAGGTGTCGTTTTAGTATTATACACGTAATTAAGAAAACACTTACTATTTTTTAATATTTTTCAAACAAAAACATTGTTAATTATTTACCTAACCATAATTCAACTAATAATAAAATAGATGATAAAATATTATTGGTCATTTAACATTCATTGTCAATAAACTTTTCATAAAAAATCAAAACGGCATTTATTTGGAAACAATAAAATTATCATAAAACGTAAGAAACAGAGAGAATATTAAAATTATAGTGACTATAATCCAAATTATACCATAATATGCAGTTCAAAACAATGGGAGTTCAAAGTCATCTAACATTCATTGTCAATAAATTTTGCATAAAAATATAAAAACGGCATTTATTTGAAAACAATAAAATTCTCATAAACGTAAGAAACGGAGGGAGTATTAAAATTATAGTGACTATAATCCAAATTATACCATACTCCCTCTGTTTTTAAATAAGTGTCATTTTGACTCTTTACACATAAATTAAGAAAATTGTATAATAGACTAATATATCCTTATTTAATGTATGTTTAATTAAATGAAAATAATTTAAGTAAAATACTATTGGTTATTCAAAAGGGTAAAAAATAGATTTAATGTACAAAATTACATTGGGATTGTAGAATGACACTTTTTTTGAAACAAAATTAAAAGTCTAAAATGACACTTATTTAAAAACAGAGGGAGTAATATGCAGTTGGAAACAATGGGAATTCAAAGTTTGAAACACTGAAAAGAAAACTGAATTCTGTTAGTTTTACTTTTTTATTAACAACGTCTGATAGTTTTACAACTGGTATAATAATGAGCACAATAAAGTTTTGGGGAAACTAAACTAGTTAGTATTCATATTTTCATTTTGTAAACACTCAACTAACAGTTGGTCACTAATATTATATGTAACATTGTTTAAAATGCCTACTTACAAATTTACATTGACATAAACATATTTGAATTCAAACATTAAAAGAGGAGTCAATTTAGTTTTAGAAACTATATGATATCAACATATCAACCTTTGCGAAAACTTGATTAATCACAATTCTATTCTGTAGAAACTCAAATAATGACCATTACTTACTGTACTTATTTTAATTGATTTTCAGATATCTTTGAAAGATATAATTAATTAAAACAAAAATAACTTAAAACTATAGTTTAAAATGATTTGACTTCAAACACTAAAAATGGCAGGATTTTCACATATCGTTTTCATTTTGTTCTTATGGTGTTTTCTTGTTTTTTCATATCTGTTTTATGTTTAATCTTAGCCTTTATTTCATATATATTTCACTTGGCGTTGTTTGTGTTATGTCTCCCTACTTTAGGGGTTGGTCTCCAGAAAAACTATATATATATTTTTTGGTTGGCTCTGAAATATACAAAGGCATTTCAACTTGTATCCCTCCTTGTTGATATTTAAATCTGTTGGAGGAAAAAGAACAATTGAACGGAATTTTGAATAGAGAATGGAATGGGACTGAAATTTTCTATTCTCTGTCGGGCCTTTATTTGGTCTATACGGTTAATGAGCTGATGAATTGGCTAGTGAAGTGAACGCTATACAATGGCATGACGACTAAGACGAAGGTAATTGTGGTATAACTTCTCCGCATTATATATTACATTTCATCAAACATAATTTAATTATTTAGAAACATTACATAATTACTCCCAGATAATCATTTCACGATAAAGTTTTCTCGACCTACAATACTCAAAACTTTTCTAAAAACTGCATCATATAATTTCCAATAAATTGCATATTCTAGGATTTGAACCTTAAATTCTTAGTGTAGAAATCTTGAAACCTTAATCCGTTGACTAAGGTGTTTCCACACAATTTGATTTGTTAAAGAGGTTATAACAAATATTAATACACTATATTTAATAGTGAAAACTTATGTGCAGATCGCACGCTGATAATCAGGTCAAGCTCTCGTCTGATGTTCTCCATGAGCTAGGAGGCCCAGCGATATAATACTGAGAATAAAATCATTACATTATTATGCAACGGTGTGACGATTGATAAACTATCCACACAAAAGTAAAAAGAAAAAGAAAAATTCTCTGTGTCCACACGGCTCCGACCCAAATCTCTAACGAATAAATGTATCTCCAACTCTTGCACGAAAAGAATTGTTGCAAAGAAAATGACATGAAGAAGGTGGTAACGAACTCGTGCCCACTTTACAAAGACACGTCACTAAACTCCAAGCCTGGACCAAAACTTGTATTCATATATACATGGAACCATGAGTTTTATAGGCTTGTAGCCAAAATGCTTAAGAACAAAATCATCATATAACGTAACTCCGAGCAGGATTTATATAAAATAAGATGTCAAAGACTAACCCTGCTTGTTCGCTTTGTCGGTCTAAGTATATACACATATACTAGGTGATTTTCCCGTGCTCATGCACGGGTATGAATATTCATAAAAGTAAAATTTTATAATAATTGATTAGTATTTAGTTTTAGTTTTGAATCAATTAATATGTATAATTTATATTAATAAGTATTATATTATTTTAATTATACATATGACTTTGGATATATTATTGTCGGTGTAATTATTTTTCGGATCAATAGTTGATTTGGTTATCAATTTGATATATTGGATAATATCTATTTTTCGAATTCAGCTATAATATATTTTATTCTAAATATAATAATACTTTGATTAATTTCTTTATTTTCATTTCGGTTGGTTATCGTCTTTAGATATGTAACTATATTCTTAGATATGTAAATATATGATAGTTAAATTGTGTATAACTTAATATATATTGTGCTTAAATGAAATAAATAATTGATTGGTATTTAGTTTTAGTTCTTAATCAATTTATATGTATAATTTATATTAATAAATATTATATTATTCTAATTATACATATGACTGGATATATTATTACCGGTTTAATTATTTTTTTATCAATAGTCGGTTTGGTTATCAATTTGGTATATTAGATAATATTTATTTTTTGAATTCAGCTATAATATTTTCTATTCTAAATATAATAAAACTTTGATTAATTTTCTTATTTTCATTTCGGATGGTTATTGTCTTTATATATGTAAATATATTCTTAGATATGTAAATATATTATAGTTAAATTATGTATAACTTAATATATATATATATATATATATTGTGCTTAAAATGAAATAAATAATAAGCTGAAGTGGTTAATTCAAAATTACATAAATGAGTATAATGATAATATTTTGAAGTCGCATGCATATATATAAATTCTAAAAAGAATTAAATTGTAATTGGTTAATATTTTCTTTTTCTTTTTAATATGCTTTGGGTCAACCTCTAATTTATATGTATAAAACAAAATAGATTATTAATATTATTATTATTACTATAAAATTATATGTTCTTATTGTACTTAGTTGATTAATTTTGAATATAAATTAGATTAGCCAAGTCATTCATTTTGTGAGTATATTGAATATAATATATTAATTTGTAAATTAAAATTGAAGAATAATTACTTTTTATTTTAGTTAAGTCAAATCAAATTAGTTTTATTTATCGCTTAAATATACATGTATTTTCATAATATTTATTTAATATTTATTTTAGTTAAGTCAAATCAAATTACTTTTAGTTATCGCTTAAATATACATGTATTTTCATAATATTTATCAAATTATATGTTGATTTTTAAAAAATATTAGAAAATAAAGTGCAACCGGTAAGTTTTTGGATGTTCATGAACATATATATTTTTATTATATTTTATGTTATTTTAAAATATATATTAATGGGGTATTGCTATTTTGTAAACTTTCTGTTTTAATAAAGTCATATTATATACATATATTTTCGTTTTTTAAAATTTGTTTTAAAATTTTAGAAATATTTCCTTTTTATTGTATATGTTATTTGGAAAAAGGTAAAAAAAAAACTAAATAAAAAATAATAATCTTAAAATCTAACAAATCATTAAGGGTATCTATGTAATCAACCATCGTGAGAGTTAACGTGAGCGCGACACGTAGGAAACTGACTTCTCAGATAATATTATAGAGATTGTGTATATATGTCTCAACTAAGTTTCTGTGAAGTTTCTTGTATTCATGAATCTCTCATTTGACATTAGCTAAAGGACACTTTCTTTTTAGACAATTAATTCAAGTCATCATATATCTTTCGTGATTATTATATATAATAATATAAATAAACATAGACATGTATCCAAAGGAACGGTAACATAACTCATACATTAATAACCAAAGTTATAACAATACAACCACACCCTCTCTCTGTTTGTATACCCCAATGAAAGCCACACCGAGAAGAAATGCGAAACTAAAAGAAATCAAACGTGAAAACTATTGAGTTCTCGGACCCATGAGAAACTCAATTTAACCCCAAATGTACCCTTCCAAATCCAATGAAAAGAAACACCAACCCATGTGGTGGACCTTGGAATTACATAAATGAAAAAGATGATGAAAGTCAGGACCATATTATGTATATATACACATATAATTTACCTTGAGTGAACTTAACAGTCGAACATAGTAAACCTTGAACCAATCCTGACCTTTTTTTTTTCTTGAACAACGTGAAGAAAGATGGTGAGATGAAGAGGATCCGAGAGAGTTTATAGTGGCTAACGTCAACATTCCCCTGATTTTATCTCTCTGATCCAAGCTTCTTCTCTCATCTCAAAACACAAAGAAAAAAAAAGTGATGAAGATGAAACCCCCAGCTAGTTATAATAGATCCTATACCAATAAGTTTTGGTTTATATCAAGGAGGTAAGGGAGGATCCAACGTTATTATTTGTTGGATCAAGCCATGCTCCATTGACATCACTTGCATTATTCCATATGTTGTTGTAGTTTGAAGGATCTAAAGAAGATGGTGACATGAATCCATTAATGTTTCCGGAGATCTGATCAAACTTCCCTTCTTTGTTCACATCTTCATTGTTACCTCCACCATGCAGATCTTGAAGTGATTCTAGGGTTTGGAGATGGGATTGTCCCATCATCCCACCACCATTGTTCATGGGCTTGTGTAGATGCTGGAGAAGACTAGAGGGAGATGAAGACCCAAATAGCCCCGAGAGAAGAAAGGGTTTGTTTGCTGTAGAGTTGTTGATGAAGCCACCATTTATGGTGTGGTCATGACTCATATGATGTGGAAGCCCTAGACCAAAACCACATGAGAGAAACTCACTCTCTAAACCACTTGATGAAGTCTTTGAAGAATCACTGAAACCATAGAACAAGGGATGATGGTTCATGGAAGAGAAATGGGAGATCTGATGATGAGGGTTATTAGGGGATGAAGAAATCATCGTGGAGGCAGCGGTTGAGGTTGCGGTTGCTGGCCGCTTGGCACGTTTGTTCTTCCGGTAGCTACCGCCTACGGGAACGTTACGGAGGGTCCCACCACGTGTCCAATACCTCTTGCAAGCCTTGCAAAAGTGGCGTGGCTGAGAGAGGCTGTAGTTGTTGTAGTAACAAAACTTTGTGTTAGAGGAATCACAACGAGGGCATTTAAGTTGTGGTTGCGGTTGCTGCTGCTGCTGAGATGGAGCCACGATCATGTTCTTGCTCTGCATACTCGCCTGAGAAGAGAAGGGGAAAGAAGAAAATTTTAGACCGTGTGGTTTAACTAAAGGCAAGAGAACAAATGGATTTTATTCGGATCCAAAAGCTAGGAAACAAAAGATAATTGACTCATATTATTTGGGATATATACATATATATATATAGAGAGAGAGAGAGAAAGAAAGACCAGTGGATTGGTATTGGGAGAGATGATGCTAGGCATCTTCTTCCTCTGGTCACAATTGCCAAACATATCTTTCTTGATTAAGCTCTTTTGATTTTGTTTTCTTTCTTTGTTTCTTCACTTCTTTAAAAGAGAATCCTTTTGAAACCAGCAGTGTACAGACAAAGAGCTGTTGGCCACTGAAGCTATTATTACTGTTTTAACTTTCAAAGATTGAAGCACAAAGATTCTTGACAGATGTTTTCTTGTGCTCTCTATTTTATAATGCATGTAGTATTGTTATTTGTGCCACTATTCATTAACTTTTATATATGTCATTAGGTTTTCTTTAGTTGTACATAGCACAAACTATTGGTATTTTTTTTTAAAAATAGTAGGTGCAGAGATGTTCAAGCTGTATTTGGACTACAAAAGAGATCCTAATTGTCGTTCTTTTCTTTTAACTTGGAAGACTGTTGTAATGGTATATCTTTTGGGGAAGAAATAAAAGAACAAAAGTTAATAAAAAAATGGTCCTTACACACTTTTTACACATTTACGAAAATATATCATAGAAAGAACAATTTGACATTAGCTAAGTTCAAAAAAAAAACAACAACAATTTGACATCATATTTCTGAAGGAAAAACATCAGGTTTCTTAACAAAGGTTTTATCCTCTTGATATTTAATTATATATGTATAAAAGAGTTCGATAACCACTCTTTAACATAATTTATTTGGACAGCCTAAATTTATCTGCAGCAGATTAATGAGAAGTTGTGCACCTTAACATTCTTTTTCTGTCCTTAACATTCGAGACTACGAGAACGACTTCATTTATACAACATTACTGATTTATAAATTACCTCTATTAGTTTACATAATTTATATATTTTTTGAAACAAATGCCATAAGAATGATTTCTCAAACATTCTTATGTAAAACGATAATTAACTCTTTGCTGGGCATCTGCACTTATTCTACTTCATAAAATATATTTATACAATTCAGCGTTTGAAAATTATCATCGATTAATTGTGTAGAACAAATGACGACAGTAATTTTTAAATATTTATGTGTAATAATTTTCAAAACAATCAACTTTCATCGTGTAAAATATATGAGCCCTTGCGGATAAAATACATCAATCCAAAATTAAATTAAACAACTAAAACAAAAGTATAAAAAAGTTAATTAATTAGAGTACATGTTTGTCAGCCACCCGTTCTCAAGGATCATCCCGAATCTGGATTGTAACATCGTTTTTTGGATATTCTATGGTCTCCACCGTTATGTTTCCAATTGTTTGCTCGGTTGTACTGCCTTTTTGGTGGAGTTGTGAGTAGGATTTTCTAAAGAATCATGATGTTAAATCAGTAAAACAACACGAAATGACATAAATGTTCACAGTTTGGAGGAGTTTATACTTGAATGTGCATCGGAACTAATCTATTAGACTTTGAATCCCAAATCCGATGATGACAAAATGATTACAGAATAAGATTTTGCACACACAAGTAAAAAAGAAAGCTTCAACGTTTTGATGAATTTTATATACATTGTGAGATAATCTTCTTGGACAACCTTTTAAGTTCTTCTCTTGGTTTTCTCCAATCTGAATTGAAAACCACAAATAAATCATGATTTTTGCTTAGGATTCATGAAAATTCATTTTGATCTTAACAAACCTAAAATTCTAAATACGTACAAGTACTTGATATTTTCCCCTATTGTTTTGTTTTTTCCCCCAACAATATGTATTATGATAAAAAAAAATATGCATGTATACCGACTTTGGCAAAAGAAAAAAATTATCTTGACCAAAAAAATGTACGCAAGCTTAAATATGACTAATTATGTAACGATAAATTACTAAAATAAACTTGTTACATGTATTACTATAAGACATTCTTCAGAAGGATGAAACAAAAAAACTGTTTAAATATTTGTACGAATCAGAGCAAACATAAAATAATTTCAAATTTACGGAAATGTTGTCGTCTGCCCAGCCCTAAATTTAGCTTAACAAGGCGGGTCAAGTTGGCAAAGCAAATCTAGATCCCTAATCGATTAACTTACATTAAAGTAAAGTGTATATATATTGAACAATGCAAGAAGAAAAAGATAGAGACAATAAAGGAGAATGTAACAGGTGAATCTTTCAGAGGGATCGAGGAACATCACTCATCACGATAAGTGACATTCTTTTGCATATTGTGGAATTGGAGTGAATCCCTAGAACCACATCACCCTATTAATCCCACTTCCAATTCTTATTTTAATTTATTCAAATTCCGCTAAATAATATCATATACACATCTATCATACAAACTCACTATAGTTTATACGCGTTGGTTTGAATATTGTATGATACTTCGCTTATAATAGTACTAGTTGCACCTTTTGAGATGGTCGTAATAATTCAAGAGATTGCTTACAATATTTTAGTAGGGTGGGGAATTTTTAGAGATAATAATACATTCAACAATGACAGCAATGAACCATATATTAAGAAGTAAAAAATATATATATAGCTTTCATTAAATTTAAATAATGTCACAAAATCTGGTTTTGGTTGACTACGATAATTTTGGAAACGATCATTCACAATGTTTTGAAATTGCCACTATTGTCCAAGCATAGTTGAGACTATACCCCTGTTCGTTTTATAAACGCTGGCGTCAGCGGCAACGATTAAGAAAAACAACTATGACCACGGCAAATGTATCACAGTCCAGGTAAAACAGATTTCTTTTTCAGCCGCTACAGTAATTAATAACTTCCAGAAGTTGACGCTGGAATTAACAGCGGCAACGGTAACTCTGTTTTCTTGTCTCCGTTCGTTCCTTGGCGACTGACGCCAGTTTTGAGATCAATAAAATCACATCCGTTGTAGGTTTATTTCTTGTCGCTGCGGCTGACGCCAGCGTTGATAAAACGAACAGGGGTTATATGCATGGTAGATCAAATTAGCGTATGATTACTTATAAGTCATGATTATGATGGAAAAAAATAGGACCTCTTTAAGAATTAAATAAGAAGTGGGGTTGGATTAGAGTCGCGAGGAAAACAAATGAGGAGAAGGTTTTCGAGAAGTGAAAGCTCCAAGAGGAAAGGGACAAAAGAGAGCATAAGTGCATGTGATGTTCCATCTCACTCACTGCCACCAAATGGGTTCACATTTCCAATCTTCACTTTATTCTCCCTCGTCTCTTTCCTTGCATTATCTCTGCTTTTCTTTACTTTTGCTCTGATAAAATAATACAACCAGATCATAGGTTTATGTATCAAATTAGATTTTAAACAATGCTTAAAATTCATATTTCTAATAAGCATGAACCGATATTTTTTTACGGAAATTAGCGTATTAGCACCAACAAGGCCCAGGCTTGCATGGTAGTTCGATGTCTTTGTTTCTTGTTAAACAAATGGTAAAATATTAAACAATGGTTTACATTAAACTTTAAGTAAATTATGGGTTTGAATGATACATAGCAACAGTACTGCAAAACGCAAGCTAGTAAACACAGAAAAACAAATGTGAGCGACGGACGAACAATTCGTTCTATTTGACGAGAACAAGATTAAACAGTAACTATACAAATACAGATAGACATATACTAATTACTAAATTTAAGAACTTTCTAGCACATCAAGTTATCAAAACTATATTTATAGATTGTTTCTATATGAATTTAAGAGCTTAATTGCTAGTTGCATTTCAACCGCAGGTTAATTGGTTTAGAACTGTGAATTTTATGGTATCTCTCTTTTATGGTATTGAACTAATTCACCCATGTTTTTAAGCCTTCTTTCAAAAGAAAACAGTATATGTTATGCAAACCATATTCTCTTTCGAATATGAAGACTACGTACATGTGACCTTTTCCTCTTTCGAGTATGTGAATCACAATATTTTTGCGCGCGACACACAATCACTGATAAATTATTACATATAACTTCAGTACTTACTTGAAACTCTCATATTTTTTTTGCCAACTTCATGTTTTTAATATTTCTTCCTGTAATCGAAATATTTTTTTTTTACTATATTCCCCAAAATAAACTCCAACAGATACGAAACTTCTATCTTTTAGTAAGTACTCATTTTCTTAAAGAGTCTATGTACACATAAAATATGTGTGTATGTGTATGTTAAATTGTTAATATATTGTTTGATAATGCATGTGGGAGGCAGATTGGAAAGAACAAAAAAAGAAAAGCAAAAGCATTAGCATAGGGAGACTAACGAATTTTGTAGAATTTCAAGGGATTTTCTCTTCTCCCAAGTTCCATTTTCTATTTGAGTTACTGCAAATTATGTCTTTACTTGTTTGTTTTTTTTTTTGACAGAAAACTTGTTTTTTTATTCTTCTGAACTACGCTTATTTTCTCAAATTTTCAAAGTTAGATTGTTTACTCCAGATTGCTCTTGTAGGAGTATTTGCTTTAGCCACAAGGAATTATTAAATATAAAATTTTCATTATTTTATTTCTCGCAGTTTTGATTGGCAGTTGATTTTCGCTTCCTTTGCATCACAATCAATATTAAAGTAAGCATATTCAGTTATTAAAACCAAAGAAAACGAAACAGAATGTTTAGTTTTGTTTCTATCCAAGAACTTGCAAACACAAAGACAAAGAAAGGAATGATGATATGCATAGTTTTGGATGTTTATAAGATTAAATAAAGAAGGAACTTGATTTATTAAAAGGGTGGAAACTTTTGATATACTTTCGAGCAACCGAAAACAAACAAAAAAAACAAGCAAAGTAACAAAAACTAAACGATTTCTTTTTCTTTTCAGAAAGCTAAAAAAAACCAACAAAATTTGGTAGTTATTAAAGAAAAGTAAAACGAGTTATAAAGAAGAGACAGGATCTAATGACAGAGTATACTTACGCGTAACCTAAGTCTTTTTAGCAAGTGTTCGGCTTTGGCCTTGTGGTTGGGCTCACCTTTGATCGTTGTAATAATCGTGGCCTAAGCGAATTTCAGACTAGTTTTTCAGACATGTGAACCAAACTGCTTTATAATATAACATATTCACAGTAGTCACTCTATAAAGTATAGTCTTTTGATATACAGTGATTGACAACTCAAAACCACTGAATAATAAGCGCATAATCATACCAGTTCATTTATGTTACTTCAGAACATTTCCATTTTCAATATCTTAAAGAAATGAAGAGCATTGTCGCAACCATCGTTTCAAAAATACTACAATAAGATATACCAATTATA